CACTCTGTCCTTCCCACAACAGGGCCTTTGTACCTGCTTTTCTGGCAGCCTGAATTGCTCCCCCAAGATCCACCTACTGTGCACCTCCAGCTTTGCCATCTCAGGACTCCCTAATCCCTCGTCTCAATCAGACTCCTCAGTTTTAACTCTCACTAGATGATGTTCTTTCCTTCATCGTATTTATTGCAGTTTGTAATGATCTATTCATTTGTTGGTTTATGTCTGCCTCCCCCGCTATATGATAAGCCCCAGGACCACAGGGGCCATGTTTGATTGTCTTGCCTCTTCCACCACCTTGCCCAGCATAGTGCCTGCCACATATCAACACTCAGGAAATTTTTGTTGAAGGGCGGACAAACACATGATTTTGTACAACCTGCTTAACATAGCAGGTAGGGTGAAGGGGCTCTAGAAGGGAAGAGTCTATCATGTTTTGGCTTCAAGTAAATAGAACACCTAGCAGTAGCTTAAACAAAAAGCGAGTCTGAGCATGGGTAGCTGTAAGTTTTTGTTCAGAAGCTTTGCCTCATGGTCCCTAGATGGCTGCCCCAGCTCCAGGCATCATGACCGCGTTCAAGGCAAGATGTAGGAGAAAAGGTGTCCCAGATTTATCAGGAGAATGAAGTCTTCCATTCCCACCTTATTGATCAGAGCTCTATCATATGACCACCTGTAGCTTCGATGCAAGAATGAAGCTTTTCCAGCCCCTGTAGTGGAGGCAGACGAGGGAGAAGGGGGTTGAGAATGGATGTTGGTTGGGTTGACCAACAGTATCTGCCCCAGAGGGAAAGTTGAGAAGCACAGTGCCATTCTGGGGGACAGCCTCCTCATCTGTAGAGTGGAAGGTGTAGGGGGGGATTGCCAGGCGAGCTCTAAGGTCTCTCTCAAGTCTAAGCTTTGTGCTTGGGCAAAGTCCATATAACCCAGATGCCACTAGCCCCCTGAGGTGAGGTGATGAGGTGGGGACTTCCTGGCACAAAGCCCCGACACATGGCAGTCCCATCGTCCCCCGCCCCCATGTCTGCCCATTCCCTGGAGGTTCACAGCCTCCCATGCTGATGGGGTTCCTCAGAATTCCCCCGCCTTGGGCAGAGCTGACCTTGTCTCTACACTTGCACATCCCCCAGGCACTGGATGTGGCACCCAGGGAAGGGCGGTGACCTTGAGCTAGGGGCTGTCTGCAGCTGAGGGGCTAGCCTCACGACCTTTGGCATGGGGACCTGGGCTCTGCATCGGTGTCCATCACAGCACTAACCTGGGCGGTGTTGGGGGGGGCTGTCCAGGGCCAGCGATCACGGGGGCAACGGGGTGGGGGGGCTGGGCCTGCAGGAGGGTGGGCCCGGCCCTGGAGGGGTGGCCTGGGGCTGGGGACCCTGGAGACCTGGGGTGATGGCCGTCTCTCCCCCCTCTTCCCCCCCGCCCCCCGCAGTCTGCCTGAAGGGCACCAAGGTGCACAGGAAGTGCTTTCTGGCCTTCACCCAGACCAAGACCTTCCACGAGGCGAGCGAGGACTGCATCTCGCGCGGGGGCACGCTGGGCACCCCGCAGACGGGCTCCGAGAACGACGCCCTGTACGAGTACCTGCGCCAGAGCGTGGGCGCCGAGGCCGAGATCTGGCTGGGCCTCAACGACATGGCGTCCGAGGGCGTCTGGGTGGACATGACCGGCGGCCACATCGCCTACAAGAACTGGGAGACGGAGATCACGGCGCAGCCCGACGGCGGCAAGGCCGAGAACTGCGCCGCCCTGGCCGGCGCGGCCAACGGCAAGTGGTTCGACAAGCGCTGCCGCGAAGAGCTGCCCTACATCTGCCAGTTCGCCATCGTGTAGCCGCCCGGCCGGCGGGGAGGCTGCGGGGGGCGCCCAGCCCCGACCCCCGCTCGGCCCGCGCCCCGCGCTCGCGCAAATAAAGCTGGTGCCGCTGGGCCGCGAGTGGCTGCGCCTGTGCTGGGCCCGCGGGGCGGAGAGCTCTGGGGGAGGAGGGGAGAAGGGGGAAGGGCAGGGGAAGGGGGGGGAAGGGGGGAGGGGGGAGAGGTGAGGGGAGGAGGGGAGGGGGAGGGGAAGAGGGGAGGGAGGGAAAGAGGGGAGGGAGGAGGGCGGGGGGGAATGGAGGAGGTGGAGAAGAGAGGAGGAGGGGAGGAGGTGGAAAGGGGAGGAGAGGGAGGGAGAGAGAGGAGGCGGGGAGGAAAAGGGGGAGAGGGGAGGGGCGGAGGAGGGGAGAAGGTAGAAAGAGGAGGAGAGGGAGGGGGCGATGGAGGAGGTGGAGAGGGGCAGGGAGGGGGAGGAGGAGGAGGAGGGGGAGAGAGGAGGAGAGGGAAGCCGAGCTGGACACACACACTTCACACCACCAACGGATTCTCAGCAGGACAGAAAAGAATAAGGGGAGACAGAGAACCCCTGACTGCTGCTGCCTTTTTTCTTTGCAAAACTTTTTATTATCGTACAATTTCCTACTTATAGAAAAGTTGCAAGAATTCCTGGATACCCTTCACCCAGATCTTCCAAACATTCACATTTCCCCATATTTGCTTTATCCTTTTATTTTTTCCTGAACCATTTGACAGTAAATTGCAGACGTGGTTCCCCTTTACCCTGAAATGCTGCAGTGTATTCACTTACTGAGAGCAAGGGCATTTTCTTACCTAAGCACAGCGCTATTATCAAAGCTGGGAAATTGACAATGACACAGTAATTGTGGAAGTCACAACCCTGATTCCTCTGTCCAGGCTTCCTTTTGTAAACTCCACTTGCGCGTGCCGGGAATCCAGCATCCCCTCGCCAACTCCAGGGAAGGGGTGACACCCCCACCCCCCAGCCCCTCCTGTTGTGTGGATCCATTTCAGGGATGCACTGACATCTGAATCCTGCTGGGGGCTGAGGGGTGGGGGATAAGAGCAGAGGCCACCTGCGGGAGAATTTGCATCCCCATCCTTCCCCAGCACACCCTGGAGGCTGGTCTAGGAGCCCAATAGGACCAAACACTGCCTGACTGCTGTGTCCCCTCCTTCCCACTCCTTACGGAGAGCTCCGGGCTAGCAATGACCCCTACCACCTGTTGAGCCCACCAGAGTGCAGGAACTTTCAGTTTGTTGTTTGATTGAAATCTTATCCACCCAGGGAAATTAAGTGACGTCCCTCAGGGTCACACAGCTAGTAAGTGGCAGAGCCAGGATTTACCCCAGGCCTGATTCCCAGGGCCTTGGGCTTTCCACCACCGCTGTGATGCTTGCCGCCCATACTGGAACTTTCCTGAAATAAAACATTGGAAAAGTGGCTCGGTGACCCCAGGAGGCTCCTGGCCAGCTTGTGGCATGAACTGGCTAGTGACACCTCCTAGGGGAAGTCTTCCTTGTCCCATCAGCCATGGCATCACTCCACCATCTGCACCTTTTTCTCCCTAGTCTTTTGCCTTCAGTAATACATTGATGACAGTTTGATTCGCTCCATGGCTATGGGGTGGGCTCGGGGAGGGAGCTTACTGTGAACTATGTGTGTACTTGTCAGGCAGTCCACTGGGCATTGTCACAGAAAGCCCCTCATATAATCCAATAATTATGGGAAGAGGTAATAAAATCCATGTGAGGTGCAGAAACAGGCTCAGAAGGCTGATGCAATTTGTTTTAATACAGGCCTAGAGGCAAAGCTGAGCCTCAAATCTAGGCCTTGCCACCCTCAGTTTGGGGCTTTTTTTTTTTTTTTTTAAACCCCACGCAGCTATACTTTAGCAAGATGCAGGTGACCAGGGCCTTATCAAAGTTCCTGAAGTGGGTGCCTGCCTGCAAGAGGGCACCATGCCTCTCTGCTCCAGAGCAAGGGTCCCGGTGGGGAGGCTCCACGGTGGTGCCTCGTGGGCAGGCAGCGAGCACTTCCCGCTTTCAGCAGCAGGGGGCAGTATGGGCCAGAGAATCGTTAGGCATCGCTAATTGGCCGCAGACGCTCTTCGTTTGGAACGGAGACCAGTGGACAGCAAACTTGGTACACCTGTCCGGGGATCTTGTTTTTATTTTAACTTTTGACACTTTGTTCCTCATGGATTTTCTTGCACTCATTTTGATTTTTAAAAATCTCACGTTCAAATATTATTTCTCATGATTACTGAGATTTTTTAAAATTTTAACTTTTAAATTTTTAAAATTTTTTTGGTGTTTCCTTAAATTTTGTACCCCAGGCAAGTGCTTCACACAATGCTTCACTCACCTCACTCACTGGTCCTGGCCCTGGCTCCAAGGTACAAACTTTGGAGAAGTTTCCAAGGCGTATATAAGCAATGATAGGAAGCCAGATCTTAAATCTTCAACTTCTCCTGGAAAGAACATCTCCTAATATTCCCCTGGAACTGACCTCTTTCATAATCATAACCCCTTCTTCTCTTTCCCATGGTGTGTTGCCTGGTGTGTCAAAAGCTTTGGGGATGCCAAACAAAGGGACAATTTGAAATATCAGTGTAGGTGTTGAGGTTAGGTCAGTCGTTCTCAACTTTGGCCGGACATTAGAATCACCTGAAGTACTTAAAAAATCCAATGCCCAGGTTACATGCTAGACTAATTAAATCCGAATCTCCGGGGATTGGAACCGGGCACCGGGGGTATTTGAAGCTCTCCAGGTGATAACAAGCAATAGTGGTTGAGAACCACTGGCTACTAGGTTAGGATTTTATGTCTGATCTAGGTGAATTTCAATTATCACTAATCTCAATTGTTTTAAATTACGCCAGGCCCCCAACACATTCAGCTCCAGAATATCTTCCTCGTTGGTCTGCCTCAGTCTGCATTTCCTACCATTCTAAGCCTTGAGCCGTGATACCATGCACACTCATCAGTATTGACCAAAATAAGTTTGGTTACTTGTTTTTTTTTTTTTTTTAAGATTTTATTTATTTATTTGAGAGAGAGAGAATGAGAGACAGAGAGCATGAGAGGGAAGAGGGCAGAGGGAGAAGCAGACCCCCTGCTGAGCAGGGAGCCCGATGCAGGACTCGATCCCGGGACTCCAGGATCATGACCTGAGCCGAAGGCAGTCGCTTAACCAACTGAGCCACCCAGGCGCCCTGGTTACTTGTTTTATATTGATTTTCACAGGAAGTAGAGGCTCAATTTGAAGGACTTGGTGTAAGTTAATTTCAGTAGGAAGTAGGCATATTTATCTAGTTAGGATTAGATTTGGTTGCATATAATGGAAAAATCCCAAATAACAGGGCCTTAAGACAGAAATCTGGAGGTAGATAGTCCAATGCTGGTATGGCATCTCTATGGTCATAGGGGATTCAAACTTCCTTTTATTTTCCCATTCTACCATTCTAGTGTGTACTTTCTATCTTTGAGGTCACCTCATGGTCCACAATGGCTGCTGGAGCACCAGCCATTATTATCCACATTCCAGGCATCAAGTAAAAGAAAATGAGAGAATGGGCTCCTTTAAGAAGCCTTCTCTTTTCCTTATATTTCATAGGCCAGAACTTTGTGAAATGCCTATCTACATAGAAGGCTGAGAAGTACAACCCTTTAGGTAGGTACCTTTGCTCCTCAAATAAAATCAAACCTCTTTAAGGAAGAAACGGCAAATAGTAGGTAACTAGCAGTTTGTAGTTGAAGCATGGAGCCACTGCAGACCCAGAGCTTGACCGTGGGAGGGAACTAGAAGCTAGAGGCAGAATTAAGTGATTCTGAAGAAGGAATGATGATTCATTCATCTGGTTCCCAAAAACTTGCTGCTGTGGGTCTTTCAACAGGAGAAGCTTGTTTTCAGTTGGGCAGCTGGGTCAGGCCCTAGCTCCTTTTCCAACAAATTCCTAGTTCCTAAGCACAGCCGTCTCAGCCTTACTTTTGGGTCAGTCGACTCCCAGGGCAGATCTAGAAGGTGCTTCCTGCCTGCCCTTGTGTGGATGGTAGAACAAGTCATTGCTGGTCTGGAGTCAGAAGGCACAGGGCATATCTTGGCCGACCCTGGCTGCATTCTGTGAAGCTTTCTTTTTCACTCCCCTGGAGAGTTAGTTGCACACTGTATCAGTTATGGTCTCAGCAGGAAGCAGAATCCAACTGGGTTCAAAGGACTATAAGGAAGGACGACTGGCAGCCCTCGACCGGCAGCCCTCGTTTTGCACGGTCTGATCTAGGTGAATTTCAATTATCACTAATCTCAATTGTTTTAAATTACGCCAGGCCCCCAACAAGCTGGTTAAAATTTCAGTTACACTGGTATAGTAACTGTGAGCAAGTGCAGAAAGCTTCATTTGTGAAGGTCTAGTTGGACTGCTAGCCCTTTAGTCCAGAAATCAGTACGTGAACAGCAGACACACAGTGTGATCGGTGACCAGTCATGTCACCTCTTTCCAAGACAGTAGGTGACTGGCCACTGCATATCGGTCCCTCAGTTCATGCAGCACAGACAGCAAAGCATGCAGTTGTGGTGCCTCGTCTCCCACGGATGAACTCAGGGGACATTTTACAAAGATGGATAACAAACAGGGAACTGGCCAATAAAGAGGAAAATGCAGCAAAGCAATGAAACGTGATAGAAACTGGAATATAGATGGGAGTTAGGAACAGGCAAGGCACTTGTTCAAACTCCTCCTGGCAAGACTTTCCAAAGAAATACTTTGATTCTCAATGTCTGTAATGTTTCAAATTAGTGTATTTAATATTTGTACTACTTTTTCTCTTAGCAACAGTAATGTTTTCACAAACCTTTTGAAAGGTCAGTCGTAATTTTCCCCACGGATCATTAAGGTTATTTTGCACAGTTGCAGCTTGCTTGGTCCATTTTACAGCCTCCGAAACCATGGTGAGGACCCCTATATTTAGAGAGATATGGGGGCATCCAGGTGGCTCAGTCAGTTTAGCGTCTGCCTTCGGCTCAGGTCATGATCCCAGGGTCCTGGGATCGAGGCCCGCATCAGGCTCCCTGCTCCTTGGGAGCCTGCTTCTCCCTCTGACCCTCCCCCCTCTCATGCTCTCTCGCTCTATCTCATTCTCTCTCTCAAATAAATAAATAAAATCTTAAAAAAAAAAAAAAAAGAAAATGCAGGCCAGCGCCCAGAGGGTGACTGGGAGAAATATCTTAACACCTGCCTCTGCGGGCCTCCCCCTTCCCCCTCCCCCCAGCTTGGCGGGTGCTTTCTTCCCACTGGGTGCACCCAGCTGAAAGGCAGCCGGCAGTAGGTCCAGGCAATGCAGTCTGTCTGGTCAGGCTCCCAGGGCAAATGACAGGGTAGCGGTGGGCGGAGCCTGGAAAGGGGCGGAAGTACACTTACCATGCGCTGACATTTTTATGTCCATGCCCTGCAGTCCAGGGCAAAGTCACCTGCATCTCTGGTGCTCAGTGCTAACACATTCCCTTGGTAAAGACTAAGTGAACACACATGGGAATGTGGGGTTCCATTCTTCCAACACAGGGCTCCTGACATCTGCGCCCTGGAATTCCCTTGGTGCTGTTTGTCATATTGGCTGGGACACAAAACACAAACAGGGTCAACGGGAAGGAGAAAAAGCGAACTCCATGTTTTTCAGCCAGTGTTTATAGGGAAAATTTTAGAGAGAGTCCCCCAAACTCGGTAGATTTTCAGCAAGATGGGCTGGGAAAGTTTCAAATTACATTCTAAATGCAACAGACAGAATGTCAGGGCGGGCGTGGGTACATCTCAGATGTTACTGCATATAAAGCATATTGCTTGGGATCAACTGTTCAAGCATTTTACTTTCTGTCATGAGTTTCTGTAACTTATATAAGGCATTTCATGTGCTTTAACCTACACCTCTGGAAATCTCTTGGGAGCCTGGGACCTTTGTTAAACAAAAACTCGCTATTTAAATAGAAAGGAAGCGCTGGTTGGCCTTCAGCAGAATACTAGGCTTTTTGCAGCTCTATTGCTCTGAGGCTGATTCCGGAGGAGCATCTCCATCCAGGAGGCCCCAGGCCCTGGGGGTCTCCCCACGAAGCCCATGTTGCTGGCTTCCTTGCAAGAGGATGAAGAGGATCGGTAGGGCAGTTTCTCAGCCTCAGCACTACCGACATCTGGGGCCGGATAACCCTTTGCTGTGGGTGCCGTTCTGTGCAATGCCGCACGTTCATCAGCACCCCTGACATCCACCCACTAGATGCCCGCAGGGCCGGTTGCGGCTGCCACGGCCCAAGTCTGCAAAATCAGCCCCTCCCCACCACTGAGAGGTTAAGAAGCAGTGAGAGAAGAGGGTCCCAGCGAAGCCCTCACAGAAAAGAGCCGTGCAAAAAATAGCTGAGGCAGACCTTATTTGTCTGATGTTCCAAATTCAGGGACTTATAAAGAAACCGTATTTCCCAAGCCAACATTCAGTGCACGTGACTTCAGGGAGGCTTTTTAAAGAAAACACTCTTCTGTGAGTTTATTTCTTCACCAGCAGTACACAGGTTGTACCACATTTGTGTAGGGGTTTCCCCCCTCCTCTTCCCCCCTTTAATTCTCACGACCATCTCCCTCAATAAAGCTCTTGCATGTCTAATCCCATCTTGGCTCCTGCTTCTAGGAGGATTTAAACTGGTTCAATGACTCAGTGCTGCTGCCGAGGAGGCTCCGTGGGCCCCCCCAGGGGATGTGGCTACAAGAGAGTGGGCCTCAGCTGCCAGCACCCCCACCCCTCCGGGACAGGAGGCCAGGCTGCCCCTGGCTGCCTCTGGGCAATGACTGAGCACGGCAGAGGGGCTCGGCAGGGGCCCCGGTGCCACACCCTTCCCACCAATGCCACCATGGGGACAACTCTAATGGGGAAGTTCAGCCTGCAGAGTCCCCAGAGGCCTGGCCAAGATTTTCTCAGAATTGCACTGCGGCCTGTGGCCTGGGGCCCTTCCTCCTCAGTCCTTCTCTCCCTCTCTGCTTAAGCAGGGGGGCTGGGCCTGTATTGCAGAGGGCTCCCCCTGCCTGTTCCTGCTCCCTCAAACCCTTGATCCCTCACAGGTGTTTCCCCAAATAACCCTCTTGCAATTCTAATCCCATTTTGCTGTCTGCTCCTCAGAGGATCAGACAAGTAATGGATTCCCTTCACTACAAAAATGGACTTGTATAAACCCGGATTGTTTGTAGCAAAACTACATCCCAGGTAATCGAATAGTGATAATACTTAGTACAGAAAATTGGGATGTATGATCACGCTCCCTAGGTTTCCTGAGAGTGGACTGTATTTCTAAGTCAGGATTATCTGTACTAAGAATGGCCATTTCTTACTGCCTTCCCTACCCCTTTTACTGGGACTTCCTCCAATAATTCAGAAGGCACCTGCACAGCAATGGTATCCTAATTCCCCCTCCTCCCCGCGCCGCCCCCCCGCTGGCCGCCCTTGCCAACATGGCTTTGGAATTCCATTCTATCCAGATAAAGGGAACCCTGGATCTGTTCAGGTGACAGAGATATGAATACTCTAAGCTAAGCTGCTATCCCCACCCCCACCCCCCACCCCAAATCCCCCTCCTTATTCTCATCCATCCCTTCTTCCTCTTCCAATGGGATGATCCTTATCCCACCATGAAGATATGAGACTAGGATAGAGAGAAGGCTGCAACTTGAAGGTCAAGGCTTTGCCTTTGCAGTGAGAAAGAGAAAAGTAGTCCCTGGCAGCAGGCTCCGACCAGCCTGGGGCTCACAGCTAGACTGCGAAGTTCTGCTGCTGAATACAGCCAATCTCACGGATCACATCAGGCAAGGTCTTCCACAGTCATGTCTGAGGGCAGACAAAATCAAGGCCAGTGTGTAAACCCCCAAACCCACCAACATCCCCCACTCCCAGCTAACGCAAGTGATGGCTGTCTCTTTACCAACCACAGCTTCAGCTCCGCTGTTTTTGTCTCAGCTTCTATATAAAAATTGAGATACCCAATCATAGAATGGATCCTGCTTTCTTGAAACTGACCCCACAGTCCTTAACACAAGTTCTATTCTAACTCCCTTGTAACACCTTCAGACTGAGATGCCCCTGGACTCCTCATCTAGACACGTATGCAGTCTCCCTCACTGCAACAAATCAGTAAATCCAACTTTGTTCCTGGTGGTCTTTGGCTGTGGGCAGAGACAGGTGGTCCACAGGTGGCCAAGTCCTGGCCTGTCCTGGGACTTCAGCTCCTGGGCCTGTTTCCAAGGTGCTGCATCCATCCTATGAGCGAAAAAGAGAAGAAACTGAAGGCAAGACAATGACCAAAAAAAAAAAAAAAAGAAAAGAAAAGAAAAGGCTTCATACATACAGCTGAGGTGTAGATGAATCTCCTGACTCTGGTTCCAATTCTAACTAGTTGCTCTGCAGCTTTGAACAACTCATACAAAAGTGGAGCTACATGTATCCTTCAGAGGTCTGCAAAGTAAGTTTTAAACAAGTCAAGGATGAGAACAAGTGGGCCCAATGGCCGGCATACAAAAAGCACTTCTAGTGGCTGGGAGGAACTGGCAGGGTGAGGGAAAGATGGAAGGTACAGAGAACATGATGGTGAAAGTCTGATCATCTCAGGGAGAGAGAAGAGCTAAGAACATCAGAGGGAAACAGAGCTGTACATGGAACCTAGAAGACAGAGAAAAGGGGAGGCCAAGTTCATCCTGAATGGGAATCCTCTGCCCTTGAAGTATTCCTCACCCAAGGGAAAACAGATCTGGGGAGAAATGGTGCCGGGCTGGCAAGATTGGGCATATAAGCACCGAGAGAGGGGTCAGGGAGAAGAGGAGAGGGTCATCCACCCCCGGGAATGGAGTTCAAAGTCCCCCGCTGAGTGTAAGCTGAAGCGGGAGCCCCAGATGGACAAGGGTTCCCCTTACCTTTATGTGTCAGAAGGAAGCTGGACTCCAGAGCAAGTGCCAGGGCCCAGGCTCACAGCAGCCTTTACCCAAGACTCCACCTTGGGTTCTCCGAGCAGCCACCAATTTAGAAATGTACAGGCCTTTCAAGAGAAACAACACATCAATAACGAGGGTGGCCTTCCAGAGACTCAAGAGGCCAAAATTAACAGCCCAACCTCGAACGGGTGAGAGGAAGCAGTTCGGAACACAGACACTTTCAAGGAGGGACGAGACGAAAGGGGCCGCGAGCTCGAAGACGAGCGCCAGAGAGGTGCCTGGAAGGGTTTCCGCACTTCCCAGCTGCGCCCGGCTGGAGGGTCCCGAAGCCCCGCCGCCCTCGCGCCCCGCCACCCTTCCGAGCTGCGGACTTTAACTGTGGGAGGGAGATGCATGCTCACCCCCCTCGCAAAAGAGCGGGCCCAAACCGGGAGGTGAGGGGTCTGCTAGAGCAAACCTCTCGTGTCCTCAGCGGTGAAGACGTTCGCCAGAAACTCACTCGGCAAGCCCGTGGCACAGTTTCACGGATACACGGGCTCGTTCTCCACCCGCCCACGTCCTCGACTGGGGTCCTGGCAGCTTCCTCACTCGCGCGCCGCCGCGGCCTCAAACGTGCCTTCAACGCGCTTCTGCGCTCCGATCAGTGCCCTCTACCCGGAGGCCCACGTGCAAGGCTCCTTTGCGGGCAGGGCCGAGCGGGGCTCACGGCCTCCTCGGTGCTGGCCCACCCTGACCAGAGGGCGGCTCTCGGCTGTGTGCGGAGGGGCGGGCGTGCCGAGGGCCGAGGACCGACCCGACTTCGCGAGACCAACGGCGCCAACCGCCTGGTGAGATCCAGCCAACGGCCGCCGGCCCCGCCCCCGACGATCCCGCCCCCCCGCATGGCCCCGCCCCGTCTCGCACCGCCCCGTCTCCCCTCCGTCCAGCCCCCCGCATGACCCCGCCCCCGCCGGACCCCGCTCCACCCCGTCCAGCCCCGCCCCAACCTGGCTCCGCCCCAGCCCGGCTCCGCCCCTCCGCCCCCGCCACGCCCTACCATTGCCGGCTCCGCCCCTCCCGGCTCCGCCTGGCCCCGTGCCGCCCGGCTCCTCCCCCTTCCTGCCCTTCCCCTCCCCAGCAAGTCCCCGCCTACGCCACGCCCCTGCCGCATCCGTTTCCCCACCCTCACAGCCTAGCCTCCGCCGCATCGTCGCTCCGCCTTGGTCTCAAGCTCCCTCCCCTCCCTTAGGCGTCGCCCGCAGGGTATTCTACTCCAAGCCTCAGGGTCTTTCTCACCCCTTGGGCCTCTGAGGCCCAGGCATCTTTTGCACCAGTTGTCCTCACCGTGGTCCATTTCATAGTTTAAAATCGTGGCTTGGAAGTGGGAGGAGGCAGGATGGAGAGCAGGGACAGTTTGGACATAGGCCTCAAGACCTGGTCATTCTCCCCTGAGAGATGAGGAGGAAGGAAGGGTCTGCATGTCTGGCCTCAGGGCTCTTGCCTCACAGCCCCAGGATGAGAGCTTTACCTTATGAAGTAGAAAGATCTGGAAAGATAAGGGGCTGAGGTAACCCAGGATCTTTGGATGGGGATTTTTTGTTGTTGTTGGCATTTGGGAGGCAGCTCTTGGAGATGCCTGGGAGGAAGATGTGCCCTGAGCACCAGCAGTCCTATATGTAATGGTCCTTTTGTGGCAAGAGCTCTTTCATTGGGATTTGCTGGAAGAATTTGACCAGCCAAAGCGACAAAGCTCGTGATTCCCTTCCCCCTTCCTCATGTCATGGCTTATGCAGCATCTTGGAGCATCTGTTCAGAGAAGGGCCAAGGATGGTGTCTGTTCTGCAGAAGCTCATCCCTAGTGTAGCCATTATCTTCAAAACCTTCTTCCTGTTTGGGTCCTTAAAGAACCGGGGAAAGAGGACTTGAAATATGTCAATTCAGAAACTTGAGAAGGGACTGAAACATCGTAGAAGTGTCCACTCTTTCCACCCCAAACCCTGGGTATGCTGAGGTGGATCAAGAATACTCCAGGGGCGCCTGGGTGGCTCAGTCGTTAAGCGTCTGCCTTCGGCTCAAGTCATGATCCCAGGGTCCTGGGATCGAGCCCCGCATCGGGCTCCCAGCTCAGCGGGGAGCCTGCTTCTCCCTCTCCCACTCCCCCTGCTTGTGTTCCCTCTCTCGCTGTGTCTCTCTCTGTCAAATAAATAAATAAAATCTTAAAAAAAAAAAAAAATACTCCAGAGTGCCACCCTCTCCAACTGAGCCTGTTTGGTTATGTGTTTATTTACTTATTTTTTCTCAGTGGCTTGATTGTGGGTTTCCTTTCCCCTTCAGGTGAGAAAAATATTAGGTTGCTACTAAAGAAACAGTAGTTCTCTCTGCAAAGGTTTGGATCAAGATTAAATCTTGAGGTGAGCCTGTCTCTTATAGGTGCAGAATCTATAACCTTCTAGCTGCTCTGGCCATCAGCATTGTTGAGGACCATGATACAGTGCATGATTTCTTTTCCTTTTTTGTTAAGTATTTTATTTATTTATTTGACAGAGAGAGCACAAGCAGGAGGAGCAACAGGCAGAGAGAGGGAGAAGCAGACTCCCCGTTGAGCAGGGAGCCCGATGTGGGGCTCGATCCCAGGACCCCAGGATCATGACCCAAGCTGAAAGCAGACGCTTAACAACTGAGCCACCCAGGCGCCCCAGTGCATGATTTCTTTTTAAAGCATCCAAAATGTAAGTTATTAGTTAAAGGATATTGCTAGGAAATCATTGCAATATGCTTTAATTGGTTTACAGATTAATGTAGCTTGTTTGCTAATGTAAGTAACTTGCAATATATTCTGTTGCCTTGGGAGCAATGCTAGAAACAAAAGCTCCGAATTGGGAAAATTGAATGAAAATTGCCTAAGAGTCCTCATCACATTTTCTTACTGCCCCTCCAGCCTCAGCCCCACATAACATTCCTCTTCTAGTTTAGAAGTATCTTAAGCAGCTCAAGAAAGCATGCCCCACTTGTTGAATGAATGGGTGAATGCTATCATCACCTAAGGTTTGTAATCTCCCCCGCCCCCCACCCCACCTGCCACATGTTTGAACCTTTCCTTCTAGCTCTTCACAGGGCAGCTGCTTCTCCACCCACACTTAGCCTTAGCACCATGTCTTCCACATCGGATGTATTCCATAGGAGTGAGTTGACATAACTGAATTGAGTTGGACACCCAGCAGAATAAATACCACACAGTTTAGTGCCACTGGTGCTAAAATTCTTCATGCAGACCAAAGCAGATGTGATGTCATGTTCAATTATTGCTCAACTCTTGGCAAGGATCTGAAGACAGATAGAAACATCTTGATCTATTTGTGCAAGAAGTCCGTGATTGCAGCATCTGCAGCAAGTATAAATTTTTATCTTAAAAATCGATGTCTCTGGCCTGGAGAAAATAAATTAGATTGATTTTTTTTTTTTTTAAACACCAAAGACAGAGACTTCATTATCTCGAAAGGGGTTTGCTATCCATGTTATTTAAGGAAAACATAATTGAAGATACAACTTCATCCTGGGTATACTGGACTGATTTGACACTAGACTTTTTTTTAAAAGGTATAGGGCACTTTTGTCTTCATTATTGAAACATCTCTGTAACTGGTCCTTCTCAAAGAGACTATCTGCTGAAATATCACTAGGTTGCCATTCAGGCGGAAGTGAGGAAGATTTCTGGGAAGGTGTAACCCCTGACTGGAAGAATCGCCTCTGAAGAACATATCTCCCCATTGTCCTTCCTTCAGCTGGGCCTCAGTTTCTGCAACTGTAAAATGAATGGGCTGGTCGCCAGATAATCTTTAACATTCCTTCTAATTAAAACTTTCACAATTCTTTGTTTTTGTTTTTGTTTTGTTTTGTTTTGTTTTTGCCAGCAGAAATGAAGGGCAATTGGTCAGCTGATACCAAATGATGAATCTTAGGTGTTTGTTGTCGTTGTTCTTCAAAGTGATTCTGTGGGCACCTAGGTGGCTCAGTCTGTTAAGCCTCTCCCTTTGGCTCAGGTCATGATCCCAGGGTCCTGAGGTTGAGCCCCACAGCATCAGGCTCAGTGCTTGGGCGGGGAGCCTGTTTCTCCCTCTTCCTCTGCCTGCCGCTCCCCCTGTTGTGCACTCTCTCTCTCTCTTTCTCTCTGTCAAATAAATAAATAAAATCTTTAAAAAAAAAGTGATTCTTGTAAGGAAAGACTTCTGCTGTCACTAGGCCTCCCAAAGTATTTGTGTCCACAGGTAAGGGTTTGCATTTCAAATAGAAACCCTGAAAATAGCAGGAGGGTGAAGTCTGGCCTCTGTAAACCAGGCATTGCTTAGAATGAGTCACAGACTATCTTAAAAATACTGGAAATCTTAATTAGTGTTTTTTCTTCTTAAATCAGTTTTACTGAGATGCAATTGACCTACACTAAAATGCACACATTTGAAGGGAACTGCTGATCAGTTTTGACAAATATTTGCTCCCAGAGAAACTGCCACCCCCATTACCCCCACACTTTCCCTCATGTCCTTTTGTAGCCAGTCCTCATCAGACTGGATCTTCAGTGTAGCTACATCACCCCTTTGCATCCCTTTTTTTTTTTTTTTTAAGATTTTATTTATTTGACACAGAGAGACACAGTGAGAGAGGGAATACAAGCAAGGGGAGTGGGAGAGGGAGAAGCAGGCTTCCCGCGGAGCAGGGAGCCCGATGCGGGGCTCGATCCCAGGACTCTGAGATCATGACCTGAGCCGAAGGCAGACGCTTAACGGCTGAGCCACCCAGGCGCCCCTGCATCCCATTTTTTGACTTTCCTAGGGACACAGAGGTGAACAAAGGCCACGACCCTGCACTCAGGGGGCTTACAAGTTCTGTAGGGTGAGCAATTCTTCAGTAAGCCCAAGCCGCAGCTTAACTAATTCAGCCTCTCTTACTGGATAAGGAGACAAGACTCTGTTTAGACCTTTGGAGGATGCCCCATGTGGGGGGTCCCCTCACACTTGAAACAAATCGTTTTTTCCCTTAGGGCGCCTGGGTGGCTCAGGGGGTGAAGTGTCTGTCTTTGGCTCAGGTCATGATTCCCGTTTCCTGGGATCAAGCCCCACGTTGGGCCCCTGCTCAGTGGGGAGTCTGCTTCTCCTTCTCCCTCTGTGTGCACTCTCTCTCAGATAAATAAATAAGATCTTAAAAAACCCAAAAAACCGAAAAACCCAAATTGCGTTTTCCCATAGGATGAGGAAGTTCTTACTATGTCTCCTACAGCTGAATACCAATGGTGTCTTTCCTTCTGTTCCTTTTTTTTTTTTTTTTTTGCAACAGCTCTGGAAGCCAACCCAGAGCTCTGAGTGGGTAACAGTGGGGAGCAGAATTGCTGGGTTCTTCAGATGCATTTTGTTCTCCTTCTCTTGAAGGTGGTAGCTTGTTTTAGAAAAACACTTAGCCCACAAGAATTATTTGTTTTTCTGAAGAATCATGATGTAATAGTACATGTCTACACTCAGTGGGACAAACAACGTAGAATAAGTTGGCAAAGTTAGATACAAGACTGGCTAATATCCCACAGGGCCATGAAACCATAACCTTTGAGGTTATCTTTTCTACTGGCCAGATTTCATTTGCATCTCTACTTGACAAAATCGTTCCCAACTTACCAATTTTCTACAAATGAAGATATACTCTTAACAGAGTCTAGGTCCCAATCAATAGTAAGTCAACCAAAAATTTCATTTCCTTATAGCACTGGATGATCTTTAAGTGAACTTGTTAGACAATGCTCTGGAAGACTCAGAAAGGACATTCAGTCCATCATTTTGCATAATTTTCAAGTTTTGGATAATCTGTCTTTACACGATTGACCATAATCCTGCAAAATAATAACCAAGCCTCATTAGACCAAAGGGACAAGTGCCTCTTCCGTGGCCTGTTGAGCTGTTGAAGCTGATGATACTACTACCCTTATATCAGATGTGTTTCTCCCCAGATCTCTCCTCTATCACCCGGGGGAGTTGGGGATGTCTTAGTATAATCTGGTGGAGGAGTTACTTCTTGCAGCTTCCTGTTTGGTGTCTTCCTGTAATGGCAAACACCATTGCTCAAGAATATTTGGCTTTCTTTGCAACGACGTGGATGGAACTGGAGGGTATTATGTTGAGTGAAATAAGTCAAACAGAGAAAGACATGTATCATATGATCTCACTGATATGAGGAATTCTTAATCGCAGGAAACAAACTGAGTGTTGTTGGAGTGGGGGGTGGGGTGGGAGGGATGGGGGGACTGGGTGATAGACACTGGGGAGGGTATGTGCTCTGGTAAGCGCTGTGAATTGTGCAAGACTGTTGAATCTCAGATCTGTACCTCTGAAACAAATAATGCAATATATGTTAAGAAAAAAAAAAGAAGAAGAAGAAGGTAGCGGGAGGGGAAGAATGAAGCGGGGGAAATCGGAGGGGTAGACGAACCATGAGAGACGATGGACTCTGAAAAACAAACAGGGTTCTAGAGGGGAGGGGGGTGGGAGGATGGGTTAGCCTGGTGGTGGGTATTGAGGAGGGCACATTCTGCATGGAGCACTGGGTGTTGTGCACAAACAATGAATCATGGAACACTTCATCTAAAACTAATGTTGTAATGTAGGGGGATTAACATAAGAATAAAAAAATTAAAAAAAAAAAAGAATATTTGGCTTTCCTGAAAAAAAAAATTGGGGCTCTGAATAAAATGATTGATTCATTCTTCTTTGGCAACTTCGTTTTATTTTATTTATTTGTCAGAAAGAGCACAAACAGGGGGAGCGGCAGGCAGAGGGAGAAGCGGTCTCCCTGCTGAGCAAGGAGCCTGATGTGGGGCTCGATCCCAGAACCCTGGGATCATGACTTGAGCCAAAGGCAGATGCCCGACAGACTGAGCCACCCAGGTGTCCCTATTTTGTTTTATTTCTAAAAGATTTTATTCATTTATTGGAGAGAGAGCGAGAGGAAGCATGAGCAAGAGGAGGAGCAGTGGGAGAAACAGACTCCCCAATGAGCAGGGAGCCCGAGGAGATGGGGCTCCATCCCATCTTCCCCCCAACATCGTGACCAAAGCTGAAGGCAGATGCTTAACCGACCTCGGCACCCCCTCTTCAGCAACTTTATTTTTTTATTTTTTTTAAAGATTTTATTTATTTATTTGACAGAGAGAGAGCACAAGCAGGGGGAGCAGCAGGCAGAGGGAGAAGCAGGCTCCCCACCGAGCAGGGAGCCCAACGTGGGGCTTGATCCTAGAACCCCAGGATCATGACCTGAGCCGAAGGCAGTTGCTTAACCAACTGAGCCACCCAGGCGCCCCTCTTCAAGGACTTTAAACTGAGCTTTTAGTGACTTTACTTATAGAAAGACATCTAAGCAGAAGAAGGGAAATAGGCAGATCCTGAGTCATAGTAATCCCTATGCCAGAGGCCCCAGAGAAGGCTTGCCCTAATGCTCTGCAGGTCTATGTCATTAGGAGCACCAAAATACTGAGTGAAGACATCAACAGCCACTAAAAAGTTTTATAAATACATTTTAAAAAATTGAATTATAGTTGACACGCAGTATTAATATTGTATGAGTTCCAGGTGTACAACGCAGTGATTTGATGATTATATACATTATGAAACACTCACCATGGTAAGTGTAGTCCCTGCACAAAGTTATTACAGTATTATTCAATGTGGTTTGAAGTGGTAGGGTTTGGAGTCGACGGCCAAGAAAGAATTCTTGAGACATCTTTGGTGCAAAAAGGTAGTTTTATTAAAGCACCGGGACAGGACCCTGGGCAGACAGAGCTGCACTGGGATTGTGAGGGGTAACTGATTATATACTATGGAGTTGGGGGAGGTAAAGACCAAGGGAATTTTCCAAAATGACTTTCACATGCTAAAGAAGACTTGCTGGATCCTGGAGGCCTGGCTATTGTCAAGCTCAGGTTGTTTTTTCCTCTAGCAAGGCATTAATGTAAGACGGTTGGGAGTTTCCTGGAGGAACGTTATACCCTGCCTGCCTCAAGTACTTGTCAATGGGCTGCAGGTTATAAGGAGATTTAATTGTATCTACATTTCCTGCTGCCCTTGTTCCCCACATCATTATTCAGGTGCTGTATATATTCTATACATATTCTATATTCCCTATGCTGTATTTTTCATCCCTGTGACTTATTTATTTTATAACTGGAAGTTTGTACCTCTTCATCCCATTCACCTCTTTTGCTCATCCTCCCACTGCCCTCCCCTCTGGCAACCACCAGTTTGTTCTATTTATGAGTGTATTTCTGGGTTTGTTTGTTTTTTTTCATTTGTTTTGTTTTTAAGACTCCACCTATAAATGAAATCCTATGGTATTTGTCTTTCTCTGTCTGACTTATTTCACTTAGCATCATACCTTCTAGGTCCATCCATGTTGTTGTGAATATAGATGTATTTTGGAGTGCCACCTGGTGTCTTGGAGGACCCTCCCTGTGCCTCCCCCACTCCCCAAACAGGAGGCTGGAGTCCACCTCTAGGTCTGCCACTTTCTTACAGGTGACATTAAGTAATAGTCACACATTATTTGCATTTAAACTTAAAAAAAGAAAGAAGAGGAAGAGGACAGTTAGCCCTGCAGGACTCGCAGGGTGGTTATAAGAACCAATTCAGAGTTTACTGAGATATTAAGTGCCAGGCACCCAGTGCTGCATGTGGGATAAAGCTGCAGTAATGTTTGTGAGGGTACTTTGCAAATCAAAAGAGGTGTCATTAGTTGAGATCAAAGGCCCATGACAGTTAGCCTGCAGGCTGGGCCTCCTGGGTGGTTGCAGGGATCAGGGGTAAGTAAGATGGGGGTGATGGTGGGAAGAGACTTAACCTGGTGGGATGTCGGATGATCCTGCTGGTGTTCAGCCTGCAAAGGAGCTCAGACAACACTGCGGGTGGCTGGTGGCCAAGTAATTAGTGTCTTGTGAAAAGAAAGGGATCAAGAATGGAACTGGTCCCTATGGGGTCTCGTGAGCCCCAGGGAGCCCACCCAGGGTCCAAAGTACACACTGAGTCTAAGTCTGAGGCAGAGCCAGTGGCTCTTTCATTCACCCCCAGGCCCGTGGACTTGGATTTTGGCTAAAAATATGCTTCCCCTCAAATTACAGAGCAGTCACAAAACGAGTTTCTGAGTAGCCCTTCCCATATGGCAGGCTGCTCTCCCTGAGCTCTGAGGAGCAGCCTGACCCCCTTGGTACCCTGAGCCCTAGTACCAAGGTTAAGTTCTGAACAGATTTTAGTCCCTCTAGCCTGTGTCTTTGAGAGGTCAGAGCTGAACGTCTTGGGCCCCCCCCACAGGAAGAGCCCATGAAGGGCTTTGAAGTCACTTCGGTAGCTGGTGCTGGGACTCCTCTTTCTAGGGGGGAGACCAATACCCCCTCTCCTAGGGCTGGTTGTCAGCTCCCTGGAGACATCTTGGCTTGGGAAGATCATCAGTTGAGGAGTGTGTGGAGCAATGGAGTTCTGAGTCACTGGAGGTGTGAGCAGT